GCCAGGAGCCCCTAGTAGCGTCCTTGCTCCTAGTAGCGATGCCAGGAGCCCCCAGTAGCGTCTTTGCTCGTAGTAGCAATGCCAGGAGCCCTGGGTGTCCTTTTGCCGTGGATCGCCTTTCAAAAAGAGAACGCCCGGGGCGCTTCCATTTCGAAGAAAGCCTCACACTTTGTCTGAGAATCGAGGGTGCAGGGATTCTTAGGGTATAGTACAGCAAAGAATCTTGCGATTGAGACTGGAAAACCGAGAGCACTGTGGGGTGGTCCATGCTGGAAGCAAGACATTTTGGTGGGAGTCCAAACATATCCAAACCCTCCAACAGATCTGCCGATCTGCGATCACCCAGAAAGGGCTTGGTTGGGGTCTGACCAATGACACGCCATGACTTGAAACAAAAGCCAGGGGGACTGAAGGAGCCCCTTTTCTTCCGAAGTTGGCTTTGACTCTTCCAGGTTTCCCCACAAAACTTGCTGCCAGACCTACTCAGGCAGTGCCCTGGCACCGCCGCCCCCCCGACACCCCGCCCCGCGCGCGGCGGTTTCCGGTTTCACCTCTGGATGTTCCTGGCTTGGCGCGCACAACGCCCCGCCGGCCACAAAGCCAATGCCTGGGTGGCCGACTTCATCCATTCCTTTTTTAGACTCCCAACACCTTCCAACTGGTGGCTTTAGAAGCCGAGCTCAGTCAGGTGGTGGTTTCTGGGCACCACACGCACGGAAAACACCGGTGGCGCACCTGTTTTCAGTCGGGTCCAGGTCCAGAAACCAAGGAACACATCAAGCTGCTCCCCTCCAAACTGGGCACTTGGAGCAACCAGGTGACCTACGTCAGGACCTACGTCTTTGGGAGTCTCACACCGCTCATCGAACCGCTCATCGAACCGCCCCCCCCCCCACCGCAGTGCGTTCATCAGGCAGGAACCGTGGTCTTTTCAGAGCAAAACACGTGGTCTGTTCATAGAAAACATCCACCAAAGCCGAGCCGCGTCCCGTCTGCCGCGTGGCCATAGAGGAGCTGAAGTGGCACTGCCTGCAGGCTGACTGGCTGACTGAGGGAGGAAATTCCCCGTGCCTGTAGGTGGGTGGTCCCTTCCTGTTGCCTGAGGTCTTTCAGCGCCTGGGGGAAGACTCCATAGGACCCTTTCGTTGATTTTGGATCGCACATGATACCACGTTCCTCCTTCTTCCTTGGGCTTGAAGTGGATGGCAGGGCCCTACCGGGCCTGCCGCAGGACTCCCTTCAAAAGACGATGGTTCCAATAAACACCGACGTTTCACGAACCACTTCCACCACCCTAGGCTTCCTGGCCCACCAATCTGGTCTGAATCCAGAAACACCTGTTGTCTTATCGGCGTTACACGATGAGCCTCAGCGATGCGTTCCCATGTTTTAAAGGCTAAGTCGAACCGGTGGACCTGACTTGGTGCATCAGGGACCAGAGACCCTCAAGGCTTCAACAGTTTGAAGCACCTGAGGCGCGGCTTCAGCTCTAGCTGAAGCGGCTTTTAGTCTTCCAAGTCCTTTTCGACGTTCGGAGCTTCGACCATTGTTACAACAATGGGGGAACGACCCGGTGTTTGTGGTGTTTACGACCCAGGTGCCAAAAACCATGGTTGTTCGCCTATGGGGAGTGGATGTCGCCTCTTGAGGCGGTGCTGTTCCTGCCAGAATCATCCTGGACATGGGTGTCCTGGCTAGACTACCCTACCCTACTTGTAGGTCTCCTACTCCAGGGCACCCATTGCAAGTGCTAGGTCCGTTTCACTTGGTCTCCCTCTTTCAGGAACATTCTTCATCTTTGTTCAAGTCAAGGTCGGTTTCCATGGCTGCTTCCAAACGCTATGCACTGGGAAGTCCGCACATGGTCACTTCTCGGGGAGCACCGCCTGGTTTGATGCGCTTTTGGGTCTGGGTGGTTCCCTTGATGTTTGGGTCAAGATCTTGAGCGACATCGATGGGTCTCATGGATCCGGCGCTTTGAGAGATGGGTCACTAGCTCCTAGATGTTTGATGGATTGGGCAGGATGACGCATCTTCTGAAATCAGCGTCCTTCGATGTTCGTCGCCATCGGCCTGGTGTTTTTGCCTCATCGCCCGATCTTCGACACGAAGAGGATCCGAAGAAGACGACCAGTCCGAGTCAGTGGCGCCCGGTGGTCGGGCCGAACGCAAAGCGTCCAAGTAGGGACGTTGGAGGGCATGGCAGGGGAAAACCGAGCGCAAGGACCTTCAACTGAAGAACCACTGAGGGACGTGGTCGGGATGCGTGTCGCTTCACGCATCGCTGTCGCACGGCCGAGATGTGCCCAGTTCCGCCGCTCGAAACTCCAAGCGGTGGAGCTGAAACAGTGTCGGACGCTCGCGAAAGGACGAGGTGCTTCAAGGGGAAGAAAAAGGTAAAGTGAGCGCACGTCTTCATGTTCCGGCATTGCAGCATACAATCCTGAGTCCGCTCAGGGCTCATCGAAGGTTTGTTGTGTTTTGTCCACGACGCGTCAAGGCAGGTTCCGGAAAAAGAAAAGAAGAACACGACCTGTTGTCGAAAATCAGTGGTACTTCAACTTCAAAGGAGACCCATCTCTCAAAGAGCGAACCATCAGACAGAACCATCCTACCCCCCCAACAGGTTGCACTCCTAGTGCCTCAGCTCACAGCAGGTCCTCCATCCTCACACTGCAAAAGGACAAAAACTTGTACACCCAGACGCGACCCTGGAGCCTGCGTTCAGTAGGGGCCGGACCCGAATCCTGTGGAGGGGTCCGGACCACCAATCCCAATGGTTTGGTTCGGGACCAGTCGGACTGTGAACGGAGCGTCTGGGCAGTACGTTTTAGAGGTTTTACAGGTTCGATCTGAAAACCCAACAGAAGGGGTGTTTCGTGTGCCAGAAGAACCTCTCAACTACCAGCACCCTCCAACAGGTGCTTCCTGGTGACAACAGGTGCCCAGGTTCACCACCTGTTAGGGTCTCCAAACAGCCTGTTGGAGGGTCCTGGTACGTAACCTCTTGTCTTGTGCCCATCGGTGGAGCTATACAACACAAAACGACCTCCAGACATCATCCCGAGTTTGTTTTCCGGATCAAAAGCAGAAACATCCAACGACAAGGCAGAAAATGTGTGTCTTGTTCATCCATCAGAAACTCAACAAGAACTCGCCCCGATCGATTCGGCTGGGAAATTCTGCACAGATTGGAAGGTCCTATCAGGAACTCTTCCCGAGCGTTTCGTTCCGGGTTGACTCGGGTCGACTCGGGTCGTCAGAAGAAAATCGTCGACTGGACTCCCAGGATGGTTGACCTGTTGTAGTAAGCCTAGCCTTCCAAGACCTCATTAGCATGGTTGACCTGTTGTAGTAGTGTAAGTTCCTGAGTAACACAATGGTTGCACCAAGAAGCGTGATATGTTTGGCGTTCTGGATGAATACTTTTCCTTTACTGAGGACCCTTCCATTGTTTTGACTCCGCCACCTTTGAAGGAACAGTTGAACACCTTGTGGACTGCCCATTCACTTTGTTTTTTTTTCATCCGCTCTCCGGTGGTGCCAGCCAACTTGGCGTGGGACAAGATGAAGGTTCTGTTGGCCTACCCTGGAGGAGGACCAACCTGAATGGGTTGAGAGCACGACCTGAGTGGGTGTTCAACCTCAGGCCGGACGGCCCACCACAACATCCCAGGCCATCCTCTTAGGAGCTCATGCCTAGCCCGAGAGGTCTGGTGTTGCCAATAGTCTTTCTCTTGATTTGGATCATCCCGTCTGTTGCCTTCCCATCATGTGTGCTGGACCCGTCCGGTGCCTTTCGGAAGACAGTACAGAGTTTGATGTTGAAATCTCGTCAGTCGGTCAGTTGGTGGCGTATTTCGTCCGTTGACACCGGGCCTTAGTTAGTTGTCACTTTTGATCACTTCTACTGTATCTCGCTCTGCTAGGTTAGTGACTTTCGGACTTGTGCGGAAGTTCGGTAAATACCAGCACCTTCCAACAGGTCTCCTTTGGAGGTTTGTTAGGGCACTAACAGGTTTCAATTGGTGACCTGTGAAGTCGGTGCTGGTACCATTAAATCAATGGTTGTTGGATATACCCTGAGAATCCGGGCCCGAACCACAAAAAGGTTTGGTTCAGGTACACAGAGAGACAGAGAGAGAGACTCTGTAGGTTCCAGGAACTCATGTGCTTATAACTCTCCCTAGGGCTCCGATCGTCCCATCTCCTCAGGTTCGGTGGTTTTTTAGCCCCCTGGCACCCACCCCAACCACCGAACCTCACGAAATGGGACGATCGGAGCCCTAGGGTGCCAAACTCTCTGCCGAACGTGGCTCAAATGGATGGATTTATGGTGCTCCCCTAAGAATCCTTGGGCTCTCCATGGCAGGGGTCGGACCCTCCATAGCAGGGGTCCGGGCCCGGTTCCCAAACCCTATGTGTTGGTTCGGGTCCGGATTCGATATGGGTAGTCCAAAATACTTCTGGACATCCCAGCCTCCCACAGGTCTAGTTCCTCGGGTGGTCACTTCGGTTGCTTCGGTCAATTGACTTGCTGTGAACGATGCCCTTGCCTGCTATGCGAACGTGTCAAATGGGTAGACCGAAGGACTGTATGACTGAAAGATCCGCTTGTACCACGATCCGCGAGAAAGAGATCAAGCGCATCTTTTTATAACCCAAACACTCCATGTATGACCTATTTGCCTACCTTGGGGTGGGCCAGACCTGGGGTCAATTGATGCATCAACGTCATACGTGGACAGCCGCGGCCCGGTGAGAGCTCGGTCTCCGCCACACCGCCCACGCTTCGAACGCCACGGCACGACCACCGTCTTCGCACCATTGGCGGCGTCGGACATGTTCCTGGGCCGCAGAAGCTGCGGCGGAGGACCCGAGTTCTCGCTGGTTGGTCTGTAAGTTCTCGCATCTTCGGAAAGAACGAAAACACATCACAAGCAATGTGAGAGCCTAAAAGGACCAAAGGATCCATTGTACCCCAAAAAGCTTGTTGGGCTCCCAAACCACCATGGTTTTACTATGTTTTACTGTAAGGATTTTGCACTACCAAACCCAGGTCGTTCCCATGTTTGTTCATGGTCATTCCCGGACAAAAACCAGGGACGGTAGTGGTGGATGGTGGTGGATTCTGACCTCCAAGTGGGGTAAGATTCGTTTCTTCCGCCAGGAAGCATATCGATGGGCTCGTACATGACCTCAGGGCGATGTCAGAATGCAGAATCGTCCAACCCTTGTGCCGTCCAGATTGAGGACCACCATGATCTTCACCATGTTCATTCACCCCATTTCGGTGAAGCTCCCTGCCGACTCCCCAAACCGCTCGGGCTCCACCGGTGGACCAAAACCCTCGCGCCCCCGCGTCCCGCACGAAACCGGGAGCGTCCCTTTCTCCGACCTCGGTCCATCGCGTCGGACCTCGGTCCGCGGAGCAGGTGCCAAGGCACATCCATCTCAGTGCAATACCTCGGAGGATGGATGGATGTGGCGCCACTCCAGCTTTCAACCAGAGAACCGCACTCAACCAGAACCCACGACCATCCAACCCCCCCCGTTTCAGCCGCACGGCGATGGTCGTTACAGCCGCAAAGTCGCGGCGCCGCCGCGTCTTTGGGATGGTCTTTTTTTCGCATCTCTCGTCTATCTAATCGTTCTTGTGTGTTCAATTTGCTAGGAGGGTTCAGGTCTGTCTTCTTGCAAGAAACGGTTCCTGTGTTGAAGAAATTGGTGGGAAACGTGATAGAAAGAAGGCCACGGGACTGCTCCATCCACTACCCATCAGCCGCCTCAATGGCCCCAAGACTCTGGACTTCTTGGGGTAGAAAAAAGGCAAAAATCCATTCAAGTGTTTGAGGGTTCCTTCCACCTGGAACCCCAGTCCCAACCAGAAAGAAATTGATGTTTTCCCAGTCACAACCATTTCCAATGTAAAGGATTTCAATTGCCATATTGGAACAACCGCTTGTTTCTGGTTGTTTGGGGTTCCAGGCAGTACTTACATCCCACCAAACTCTCAAGTATGCACTGGAATTCTGCGATCGGGAAGTTTTTTTCACGCAGACGACCCTCCATAGCAGGGGTCTTTCAACCTTCATGCTCGAGCAGTGCCGGACCTTCAAAGCCTCCATTAGTTCGGGCCTGGGCTTCGAACCTTTTTCCGTATGCATCCACCCAAGTGAATCCCCACCTCCAAAGGCAGCTTTCGCTTCATCCAAGCTGCTCCGGCGGAGGTAGAGTGGGTACAATCAACTTGTCCTCCTCCCTTATGGCATGGAAACTCTCGCGTGCACCACCCCCTTGCTGTTTGGTACATCAGTGAACCAAAAACGTATCAAACACTCCAATTTATCCCGGCAAGAGACCCCAAACAGTGTGTGTGAGGTCTATAAGCAGAAAGTCTAGAGATCTAGACGCATTGGGGTCGAGAGAGATGATGGTGGTGCTGAAGGTGGGGATCCTGGTGACGGTGGCGGTGGCGGTGAGTGTGAGTGTGAGTGTGAGTGTGAGTGAGAGTGAGAGTGAGAGTGAGAGTGAGAGTGAGAGTGTGAGTGTGAGAGTGTGAGTGTGAGTGAGTGTGAGTGAGAGTGAAGGTGGGTGAGAGTGGGAGAGTGAGTGAGCATGAGTGTGAGTGCGAGTGAGAGTGGGTAAGTGAGCGTGAGTGTGAGTGCGAGTGTGAGTGAGAGTGAGAGTGAGTGAGAGTGTGAGAGTGGGAGAGTGAGTGACTTTGAGGTTCACAAAGTGCTGCACCTGCCACGAAATCTGCACTTCAAGGTTCACAAAGTGCTGTACCTGCCACGAAATCTGCACGTCGAGGTTCACAAAGTGCTGCACCTGCCACGAAACCTGCGCGTCGAGGTTCACAAGCTGCTGTACCTACCACGAAATCTGCACGTCAAGGTTACAGCACAAAGTGCTGTGCCTGGCGCGAAATCTGCACCTCAAGGTTCACTAAGTGCTGCGCCTGCAACGAAATCTGCACTTGGAGGTTCACAAAGCGCTGTGCCTGCCACTAAGTCTGCACTTCGAAGTTGACAAAGTGCTGCACCTGCCACGAAATCTGCACGTCGAGGGTCACAGAGTGCTGTGCCTGCCACGAAATCAGCAAACGAGCCACATGTCCAAAAGTCACGGTTCACTGCACGTGTCACAAAATCTGAGCTCCTCGACGCACCTGCCACGAAAACTGCATTTCGAAGTAAAACAGCTCCGATCCCATGCACCTGTCACGAAAGGTCAACTTTGAAGCACCAAAGCATGAGGTTTCCCCTGCGCCTGCCAAGAAAAGTCACCACCATGTGCGAAAATGCGCACGGCACCACAACGAGAGCACAGTCGTTAGAAGCACCCGCCGCAGACACCCAGATTCAGCGAGCTTGCGCAGTCGAAATGCACTTCGAGGATTTCGAGAGGCATGAATGTACTGTAAATAGCAACGAATTAGCCGTCCACGCCCGCGCGCTTCAGCGATCTAAGCATCAGCTGCTTTTCACCTACCGTAAGAACCCCTAAGTGTGTCCACACTGTTTGGGGAAAAAACACAAATGGATCAAATCTGATGGAATTCGGAAATTTCCTAACTGTCCCCTATGCCCCAAAAAACATCAAAAAAAAGCTTCTCCGCTGGACAAAATTCGGGTAGGCCCCCCCGAAACTCCGGCCCTGAGACCGGCTTCCGGTTGCCCTGGTTTTACAGCCCCCAGGTAGATAGTGGCATGGGAATCTACACACTTCTATCCGCTCGGGACCGGGACTGGAACTGGCTCGGATCGAGTCCTGGACCCCCGACCGACCCCTGCAGGTTTCTCGAAGGTCTGACCCCTCGAGCCCGGAGGTCCCGTTCGGATGCTTAGCCCTGACCACCAAAGTAAAGCCCTAGACTCGGATCACCTACCAGGACCCTCCTGTCGGGGTGCTCTGTCTGGAAGCCTATAGGTAGTGTGGGGTAGTTCATTGGAAAACTTCTTGGAGGGTCCTGGTAGTCAGACCATTTAAAACATCGTCAACTGGGCTTCCAGGGGTAGTAAGACCATGGTTCTTCGGGCAGGTGTCTTTTTTGATCGATGGTGGGCCAGGGGCCATGAATGGACACCCCTTGCGAACGCGGGGGCCCTGCTATATCCATGCATGTATGAGATATATGCTTACATTGACCCATCAAACATACCCTGCATTGACCCGGTACATGATTCCGTGCATGCCGTGTTTGGGTTCGACCTCCAAACATGCAGGCGCCGTCGGCGCCGTCGCAGGATCCTGTCTCTGAAAAACCCGGCGTGGATCCATGTGGAATCTCCTGTGGCCTTCCTGGAATCTCCTGTGAACACTCACCAACCAGGAGTCACAAAGGGGTGGTATGTGGTCCCCAAGTGAGTGGAGTAGCTGGGCACCCCGTTTCCCTCCATGGATCGCACCCCATCCAGTGACTGCTGGAACAAGGACCGAACCCGTTTGTGACCGAGCCTTGGAGTCCCATCCTGTGACCGAACAAGCCCAAGCCTACTAGGGGGATCAAGTGACCGGTCCACCGGGAAGATCCAGGGTTTGGGATTTCCGTGTTTGGGGATGTCCAGAACACGACAGTTCTTCAAATCGATAAGCCTAATGCTGCCAGACTCATCGATGCGTCTTGCTACATGGTGTCTATGAAAACATCCACTCAGGAGATTGAGACTCAATCTCCTGGCCTTCCATTCGACCCTTCAAAGCATGGGAACGACCTGTCAAGATGTGTCACCCTAGGGCTCCTGGCCTGCCTCCTGAGGTACGCTGGTTGAGGTGGGTGCCAGGGGGCCTAACCACCGAACCTGAGAATATGGGCCAGGAGCCCTAGGGGGCCGGGGGTTTAGAGTTGACGTCCCCTCCAAGTGGCACCGTCAGTTCTTCTTGTGACTGATCGGTCGCATCTCCAAAAACCGTCGCATCACACCGTTCGGGGCATTCGCCACACGATGCCCAAGGAGGTCGCGGTGTCGCGGCGTCGCGGTGTCGCGACCGACACGGTTAGCGCGGAGGAAGGTTCACCGCTTCAGTCGCATGAAGCCCTTGGCTCACTGTTTCTGAAAGTAGGAGGAGGTCTACTTCAAAGAACTGGACCTTCTTCAATGTACTCCAGACCTACCACTAGAGAGGAAGGCTCATCCAACTGAGAGGCTCTCTGGCGAATCCGCCCAAATCCTCGGCTCTCCCTCGATTTAAGGTTAAGCGAGAGCCAGATGAGCTGGTCGAAATCAGATGTTGGAAAATGGGTGTGTTTCAGACCAGGTTGGTTGTACAGGGAAACTCTTGAGTCTTCCGCGTTTTACCACCTGTTGCGCTTCCATTTGCCTTGCAAAAGGGTCGGACATCCACCCCCGTGTCTTCCCGTGCCTGTTCCGCTCGGTTCACCGTGGCCAAGACACGCCACTGCAGTCATCTCCTTCGCCAGTTTATTCACGGAGGGAGTTCCTGACCGCTGAAAACAAGCTCGCAAGCACCAAGCTGAGCCGCTGACCGCATCTGGAAGAGAGAGGAGGTCACCGCTTTCAGATCGGAAGCGGGGATCTCTTCTGAGATCCGGATCCATCGGGGGGGGGGTTCATTTTTGACCCCAACCATCGCAAAAAAACCCACCACCTGTGCTGTGGTGTGACCAACTTCATGCTTTCGAGGAAGCCAAGTTCATGGCGCGTTTTCCCCTGGAGCCCGGTGAACCCCGCCAAACGGCCACGGCCCGTCACTCTTTTGGGGGGTGGGGAGCGCCGAGGATTCGGATCCACACACCAAGCTGGGTGGACAAAGGAGAAGTACCTCAGCAGTCACGTAAGGTGAGGGGTGCTTAATCCAAGGTTTGGGGTAGGGGTGCCCATGAAAACCACCTCCACATCACGTAAGGGCCTAGGGGGCTAAATACTCCAATGCGACTCCTGGCCGGGGATAACGAAGGAAGGATGTGAGAAGGTCTCACATCCCCCGCCGGACCCGGACGATGCCTCCCCCTCGTCTCGACTTCATGATTGGAGTCCAAACACATGGTAACACGCCGGAAGGTGCATGTCCAGCACCATTCTTGGTTTGTAGACAGGTCGTTGGAAAAAGCCAAATAAATACCACCCGTGAAACCGGGCGGTGCTGGGTGTTTTCGTGAGTTACCTGTTGGACCAGAAACCCGGATAAGTCGAGTTGAGGTCGAGCAGTCGAGCCGTGTGAAGCGGTCTTAGCTGTGGCACCCGCGGTTCCACGGTCTTGTTTCGTGAACGAAGAATGGGAGCTAACATGCGAAGAACTGAGGTAGAGACGAACTCGAGACTACCCTGAGAGTGGAAAATGACTCAAATTTACTGGTCGTCCAGTCACGGAAGTCTTGGGCGGCCAAAAAGGAACCCATGAGAGCTCCGGAGCCTTGAAAAGGACCTGCCTGGAACCCAACCCCCCAGTCCCAGAAAACCATTCTGGGCCAGTTCCTGCGCCAGCTTGAAATCCTTTACATGGGAAATGGCTGGGAGAAACATCCATTCCTTTCTGGGTTGGGACTGGGGGTTCCAGCTGTTAAAGTCCGCTCCACCAGGACTTGGCCGGTCTTTTTTGGGGGGGGTGGATGTGTGTCGAAAAGGCGCTATGTTCTAATGGACACTGGACACCCCTATAATTAACATCATCACATCACGGCCAAACACACTTCGGGAGTCCAAAAACACTTCGGGTGTCTGCTTCGAAAACGGAAGTCAAGTCTTGAAACCTCCCAAGTCGTCCGGCCTCGGCGGTTTTCATGATCTTTCATGGTCTTTTTTTTTAATTTTTTTTCGGTCGTCCATGGTGCTCCAGAGTTGCGTACCCTGCCCGGCCAGTCGGGTTTCAGTCGTAGCAACCCCTTTCGTTTCGAGTGGGACCTGGGGTGTGAACAATGCCAGCCAGTCGGGTCCAGTCATAGCGAACCTGAGGAGCTAACCTCCTGGAGCCCGGATGGCCTAAAGCAATCTCCGCCGAGCGACCCACCACCACCTTCATCCGCGAGCGCGCTGAGAGGCCCTCCTGGCGGGTTGGGGGGGGCCAATATCCCCGTGCCCGGCGCGGAGGGCGGACCTTGTTTTCCGCGACGCGAAGGCTGGGCCCGAATCCTCTGGAGGGGTCTGGGGTCGAACCATTCCCTGCAGTTTTGAGGGACCAGTCAGGCTGGTTTCACGGAGGGTCTGGGCGGTAGAAAGATCCTTGGAGCTTTTGGGGCCCAAGACCTCGATCACCCAAGCCTCGCCTGCGGCCTCGCCTGCCTCTGTCTGTCCATTCTGGGACCCCCAAAAAAGCTGAGCCGAAGACTTGCTTGCTGGCAAAAGGAAGAATAGAAGGACAGAACATCCACACTGGCTTGGGTGCGTTCTTCTATTACTATCTACTCTCAGCTAGAAGCTAGCTAGTCCAGAGGCGACACTCTTCATTCGCAGGATTGTCCCTTCACTCGTCTGTCCCTAACTCGTCCCCGAACTTGTCAAAGTCGACTGGACGACCCACGGGTTTTGGTCCTTCTCAGGCCAGTTGAGGATATCGTTTCAACGTCCGAAACGTCATGACAACCAGAGAGATCCCTGTCAGAGAAACATCTAGTGTCTGGCCGAAAACTGGAGAGGCATCACAAAGAGAGAGAGAGAGAGATGGATGTGAGAAGAACCAGGCTCACCGACTGCATTCTGGCTTTCTCCCTCACTCGTGAGCAAGTGAACTAGTATAACTAGAACCCCCGAAGAAATCACCCTCAAGTGTATTCCGCTGGCTCACCCTTCCATCGCCGGAATCCCGAACAATCCTCAGTGTTCATCGAGGATTCACTCAACGAACCAGCTCAACCGAACTCTTTCGCGATGAAATCAGGCCAACAGCTCAACAGCTCGGCGCTCTCGGTCTACACCGGCTGAGCCCGGCCGGAAGCCGGTCTCCCAACTCGTTTCTGTTGATGGGTCTCCACCCAACCAACCGACCAAAGCCACACAAAAAAAACGGTCATCATGGTTGAAAAAGAAGGCACCGGCCAAAGGAACTAATTTCAGGAGAATCCTCGTTGGACTCCCGAAAGAAAAGTAAACCTGGGAGCTCTTCAGCCCGTTCTTCACCACCAGCGAGCTGCGTCTCCCCCCCGTTCCACCCGCCCCGTCTCACCGTCCTTCGTGGCGCCCTTCACATAGACGGTCATGCTGAGCGCCTTGTCCTCGGGCGAACCGACAGCGCGAGGGAACCGACCGAGTGCGAGGGATTGCCATATCCCTTCACCTCCAGGAGGATACCGAACCGTTTCGGTTCGGTGGGACGACTGGGGCCCGGGTGCCAGGGTCCAGTCATACCGAACCTGAGTTTCGGTATCCTCCTGGAGGTCTAGGGTATAGGACTGCCTTCAAAACGGCCAGAGGTGGCTGAAAGGGGGTCTGTCTGGGGCGGCAGTCCGAACGGCTCCACGTTTTTGGTCCGTGACCGGCGGCTTCCGGTGTCTTTGGGGACGGCAACGGAGCTTCTTCTTGTTCGTAGTGGTGTAACATCCTGAGTGAAACAGCTCGATGTTCTTCGGGATTCAAACCCGTCAGTTTAGGGTGGGTCGGAAGCCAGTTCGAGGTGAAAATGGATTCTTCAAGGTGATCGATTCATCGAACCAATATCCCGGTCGACCTCCTGCACCTGTGTCAGAGTTACCGTCCGCCACTTCCAATTCTGTGGTTTTATCATCTAGGAGAATCTGGCCACTTCCACCCACATATGTATCTCCACTGATTTGTTGTGCGGCAGACTGTCCGGAATGTTCCGCGGTCGAAAGCTAGGGCGATGCCATCTGGGCTCTTGATGCATCTTGATGCCAATCTGCCAGAGATTCTGGGCTGAAAAAAGAGGTCGAATTGATATGAATGGGTCCGAAAGCAATGCAGATTGCCACCATTGCCCATTGCTGTTCATCTCTTTCACCTTCACTTTCGATTTTGGCCACCTATTTCCGGCGGAAAACAGGTTACCCCGGGCTTTCGTCCTAGGATGCCTAAAAGGTTGCCTGACAACCTCCCCCCTGACCACCGGTCAAGTCATCGGCATAAACAGAGAAAATGGTCCAATAAAACGGTGCCCCAGAACCAGGAGTCCAGTTCGACCCTGTTTTTGCTCACTGAAGGTTTCAGGAAGTTCCTAGACTACTCGTCACCTATAGTCAAACCATGTTATTTTGCGTTTTTAAACCGTCGACTGGACTCGAATCTGTTCATCCGGAAGAACACCCTAGTAGTCCAAAGACTATATATATATATATTTACCGACTGACTGAAGTAAAGGAAATTCCTGAACTCGGGTCACCTAAAGATATTCTTTTTATAGTCGACTGGACTCCCTGTTCCTGAGTCCCTTCTTCAATCACTCGGACCATAGAAGCCTTGGCGGATCCATAGATGAGTCTTTGCAGGTCAAGCGCATTCGGGTGATGGTGATCTACTCCGAAATGGTTGTCTAGCGAGAAGAACTCCCATGCAGCCGAACGGTTGTCTGAAGTACTTCCTCTGAACCCTACTTTTCATTGGTCCTTTTTGGTCCTGTTGGTCCACCCATCCCTTCCCGAAGCGGTTTCGGTCGGCCTGAAGGGTGGGGTGGGGTGGACCTGGGACATGCCGAGCCACCGGCACGCCGGAAAAGGTCATGCTCTTTGGATCGAAGCTCATCCTCACTGGAGGCCGAGGTGGTCTTTGGATCGATCGTGAAGTAACGACCGCGGCTCGGAGCCCTGCCTGGGTTTCCCCAGTCCCGGTCATTTCCTATGTAAAGTATCTCAATTGCAGTTCCCAGGTGGACCTAACCGTGCATGTGGTGCACAAAGAAGTCGAGGAAAGACTTGGTTCTTTTGCCTTGAGAGAAGGAGAGTTTTTCGGACGCTCCCAAAAATCAGGTCTATACTCGTTCAGATCCAGACCATTTTGGAAAATAGCACCCCAGAAGTCCAGTTCGACTCTATTTTGACTGACTGAAGCAAAGGACATTCCTGCACTCGGGTCACCTAGTCAGACCATTCTTTTCAAAGTCGACTGGACTCCAGGTAAACGGGCAATGTCTTTTCCCGCGTAAATCCACCCAAATTGGACGTCCAGGCTCAGCCACACACGCTGCCGCCCCACGCACCCCACCCTGCCACCCCCCCCAGCCCCACCCCATGCGCAACACCATGCACCCTGGGCCCTTGTAAGCCCAGGGGGCCAGTGGGGCAACGTGCCATGTTCACCATGGGCACTGAAGTGCAACTGACTTCCCAAAGGATCGCTCACCACGCCCTGACGCTCGGACGACATGGCCGCACCGGGCCCAGTTTCGCCGTTGTCCAAGAGCACGGGAGCTATGGCAATAAGGTGAAAGGATATAAATGGTGTCTAAAGCAATAAGAAAAAAAGAAGACCTGATATGTTGGGGGGGGTTGTGAAAACAGAAGATCCTGATATAGCACCAAGTGTGTTTAGATCCTCTCCCCCGAGTTCTTTCCGCCCTTGAAAGCCAACAAAGACTCAGTTCAACTGATTCTTCTCCACCGGCATCTTTCAGTTCTTTGGAAGTATCCCTAGGGCTCCAACCATCTCCTCAGAAGGTGGTTAGACCCCCAAAACCCACCCCAACCATCTTCTCAGGAGGTAGTTGGAGCCCTAGGGTATTTCAAGACCCTCCCAAACTCTGCTTTTCACCAGTGGGCACCAGTTCCTCCATTCCGCACGCACGGGTTCCGAACGCTTCCCGGCAAGAGATCCCAAACAGGGTCAATAAGCGAGTTTCCACGTTCTAAAGCACCGACATGAGAGCACGACATATGAAAAAACACCTACAGTATATTATATATACCAGGACCTTCCAACAGGTCACCACCTGCGACTTTTAAGTCTACAAAAGCCTCCAGAGGAGACCTGTTGGAAGGTGCTGGTATATATATATATATGTGTGTGTGTGTGAGCAAAGACGTGACGGCACACATTGAAAGCACAGCTTTGAGAGAGAACCAATTTGGGAGTAGAGATAGACAAGCGTGCATGTGAGAGCACAGCTTTGAAAGAGTACAGATGTGAGAACACACCATGAGAGTGCACATTACAGAACAACATTGTTAGTACGGTTAATAAAGGGTGTTGTACCGGGAAAGGGAAGACCCTTCACTCTGGATGGTTTCAATGGTTTCATGCAAAGGTACCTCAAAACAGAACCTCGCACAGCCATATGAATACACGTGTGAGACACTATGAGAAACACACATTGATCAACAAACAACGAAGATCACAGATAATAAAACATACATACAAGTGAGAGCCCATGCATGAAATCACCAGCGTGTCAAAATGCGCAAATGAAAGTACGTAAAATAAATCACATACAGTATTTTAATCTACGCGATGTGCACAACAAGGACCGCGCATACGTACATGTGAAAGCACACATACACATGGGGTAACATGAGCACATGAAGACACACACACACACACATCAAGACAAACCAAAATATCACCAAAATGAGACGTAGACATCAGATGCGCAAACAGTCCCAAAACAAGCAAACAGGCACACCGTCGGCAACGCACTATAAGAGGCATGCCCGCATGATAAAGAACACAACACACATGCATATGAGAGCACACGCAAGCACGTAAAGCTGCACGACATACGAACACCCGAGAGCAGTGCAGCAGACACACGAGAGCAGTGCAGCACACACAGGTGAACCAACACACAAGAACACAAATCTTCCACCTGCAACGAAATGCACACTTGAAGGTTTACAAAGTGCTGCCCCTGCCACGACATGTACGCCTCAAATCCAATTTTACCAAGCGCTGCACGCGCCACGAAAACTGTACCTCCAGATTTACAAATTGCTAGGCCTACCACACTCCGACAGACCCTGCACAAATGCATTCACATGAATGTGCTGTAAATAGCAGCGGATTGGCCGCACACCCCAGCACCCTCGATCAAACTCATAGAACTTCCCTAAGAATCCATCACACCCTCGATCTAACCCTGAAGAATCCCCATCCGCGTGTCCACACGGTTCGACCGCCTCAGGGACCTGGCGCACCATCTTCTCGCCCACGGTGCCTCGCGCAGCCGCGAGACACCCTTTCACACCGAACACCCCGGTTTTCGGCCAGAGTCGGCGCTGGCCCACCATGGTTTTAATAGCGTCATGAAAGCAACACCGAGCTGTTTCACTAAGCCCTGGGAGTCAAAGACTATCAAAAGAATGGTCTTTAGGCGACCCGAAAAGGAATATGCTTTACTGATTCAGTGGTCCGTCAAAATATAGTCGTTCTAAGGGTTTTACCACGGTTTGAGTCACCAAATCGTTCCCCTTTTTTTTTACCGTCGACTTGACTTGCAGTTGGAGTGATGGGTCCCTTGGCTGCCTGGACCCGACAAAACAGGTGCGCCACCGGTGTTTCCGTTCGTCGACCGGTCGGTGAAGCCCACCCTGACTGAGCGAAAGGCTTCTAAGTACCCACCGTTTCTTCTTGGAAGGTCCTGGTATGGAAACCCAGTTCCATCCATGTGAGGTTTTGGATCTGGTCCTGGGAAGGCTAGGTTTCTCGAATTCTTGGAAGGTCCTAGTCTGGGAAAACTGGCGAGAAGACTCTTCGGACTCTTCGATCTTCCACTGGCGCGCGTGTTCAACGCGGACGCTCGGCGCCGGATGCCTCGCATGGCAGAGCTAGATCCTTCACGCACCGCAGAAGTGGTGGGTTACGCGGACGTCAGCAGTCAACCTCCCAGACGCTCCAAACAGTCCTTGGTCCCTCAAAACCTAGGGATTTGAGACCCCAAACCCCTCCAGAGGATTTGAGACCCCAAACCCCTCCAGAGGATTCGGCTCCAGGGTCGCGTCTGGGCGGGATCCGAACGTCCCATAGCTCCCCTCTCTTGACCAACGTGCACTGCCTGCCGCTCTCGGCGAAGTCATGTCATCTGAAGCGGGTTGGAACCTGAACCTCTGCCACAAACCAACGGCCCAACGGTTGGCTCACTTCGCTTCGCTTCCGGCGCTTTGGCTCGCGAGCTCAGCGTGCCTTCCCAAAGGGGCAGGTGCTGAGCCACCAAAGGCTGCGCTTTCGCTTTCGGGGCCGGGCCACTTGGTCCTTGGTCTCCCGAACTCGCCCCAGCGGCGACTTGGAGAACCGTCCCACCCTCAGCACAAGTCCAATGACTCAAGCAGTTGGAGTGATGGGTTCCGCTGTTGCAGTCCGAATGCTCCTCAAGATGCGCAAACGCTAAACACCCTGAACACCCTGCCGTACCGCAACTTCTTCGCAAACGGCGAACCGAAGGAAAAACGGAAGCAAACTTGCTGAGTCTCCGAACAAAAAACAGGGAAGTTTTCGCACCGGACCGATTCCAAACCCAATCCCCATGGTTCCGCTGCCGGAAGAAGGGGCGAGGGAAGGCGACGGAAGGTCCGTAAAAAAGAACCGCATGCTCCGGTGGAGCGCTTAGCGCTTCCGTCGGCGTGTGACCTGGAGTTGGTCGAAAAAGAAGAAATGAAGAGGGTCCACCAAAGGGAAACCATCAAAAGACTCAGCAAACCTTGGGCTTTTCAGATCTGCGTCTCCGCATGTGTTGCCTCGATCAAAACTGGGCTTGTGTTGCTTCCCACGTGATGTTGTTGTAGTGCCCTAACTAAGAATTCTTGGGCCGGGTCGGACCTTCTCCACCTTATAGCAGGGATCCGGACCTGAAGCCAAACCCAAAACCCAATGTGAACAGGTCAAGGCCATACAGGCCAAGAAGCCCGGGATTCTGAAACCTCCGGCTTCCGGCTCACGGTCGGTTCTCATGTCATCTCCTTTCGGGCCAAGAGACCCACCTTCAGTTTCCAGCTCGTCTGGGCCGTCAACCCTTGCTCATCCTTACCTCACCGAACTCGGCCGTGACGAAGAACCCACCGGTCCAGCGACCAGACGGACGTTGAGGGTAAAAGGTGTCCAGGCCGAAGACCACGGGTCAAACACCACGGCTCGGGCCAATGCGCGAGCCGGGGCAGGACCATGCGCGTTTGGGATTGCCACTGAAGCGAAAATTGGATCCAAATGCTGAAAGAAACTTGAAAAAAAAAGAGAGAGAGCCCGCTTCAAGGACTTTGGGGCTCCAAAACCACCCTTTTTGGCTCCAAAAAAACCCGACCAATTCCAGGGTTCGACTCTGTGACGTCCAGGCCACCACCGGGTCACCGAGGCCAGTCGACGACCCTTCCGATCGAGTCCCAACCACCAGGACCCGACTCGGCCAACAGGTCACCTGCGACGCCCTGTCAGTCTACCAAAGCCTCCAAAACTCGGAGACCTGTGAAGTCGGGTCCAGGTACTGGTTGGAGACCTGTTGGAGGGTCCAGGTACTGGTTTCTTCAATCCCCAGATCCGTTGATTCCACAAAACTTCCACGACCGTTTGACCCTCCAACTCTCACAGCTGGACCAAACTCACAGCTGGACCGGGGTGAAGGGGCATTCCCCATGTTTGAAGGTTCTTGAAGTTTGGGTCCACCTTTTTCAGGAACGAACTGATGAGAAGTTGGACCGTTGGACCACCAATATAGTAGATTTTGAGGGGATCCACCTCTTTCAGGAAGGGTCTAAGTCTAGGCTTCAAAGTCTACGGATCTGCCGAACTGGTGAGCAAGCGTGTGTGCGAGTCCTGTCTCCAGTCCAGCTTCAGAAGAAGAGTGAGTTTGCTACCTCGATCGGCACAAAGAACGGGTTCCTTTATTTAAAAGGAAGGACAGAAACGTCAAACATCATCAAACCCTCTCCCATCCCTTCCTCCAATCCGCATCCTCCCCTGACTGCTGAGAACACCCCTCCAACGCCTTCGACACGACGCGCCTTCCACCAGCAGGTGGAGCTCCTGCGCTGCGCTCGGCGTCCCCGACAAGGTCTCGGTCTCCGGGTCGAAGTGGAGCCACTCCGGGAGCTGTCCACCTGGGTGTTCACCGTACGCAGCGCGTACGCAGCGCAGCCCGGACAGCGATGGGGCAGCGTGCCAATGGCCGGACTTCGAACGTCCTGTATTGGGTGTCCATATGGAGTTCGTGCCAATTGTTTTGGTCGTTGTGGCTGCTAGTATGTCCCACCAACAAAGGCTTCTGTTGTGCTTAGGCCTTGGAAGGTTCCACCCCCCTGTCAATACCTCGAGCAGGCATTGTGCCACCCTTACTTTCCTTACTTTCCTCGCACCGGTGACAGTGAGAAGATGCCGCGGCGCTTCAGCGCGCCACTCCTGAGTTTCCACGCCATCCATCAACGAGACGGCGTAGGCCACCGGTTTCCCGTCGGGATCCTGGATGGTCTCCTGGAGCTGAAGAGAGAACGAGTCGGACGTCCGGTCCCATGATCGCACGAACCGAACACCAAATCAATAAGCCAAGGTATCTCAATAAGCCAGTCCACCGAACGAGTGTCTCTGGCTATACCCTACAAATTCCAGGAATCGACGCTACCAGCTGCTTCCGTTCGGGGTCACCTGGCTGGATATCTCCACAGCTACATAAACAGGTCTCCTACTCCAGGGCACCCCACTCCGGCAGCGCTAGGTATGTTTCACCGACGGTTGAGCTTTCAGGACATTCCGTCTTCCACTGGGCTCGCCGAGGAGTCCAGTCGACGGCCCCCCTTCCGAAACTCAGCGTCGTCCACTTCGGAACCGAAGGGGGCGACCCCCCCCCCGCGTCGTCCGTCCTCTGGGATCTGCTGCTGGATCTCTTGACCCACGGTGCCGGAGGCATCTGGCAAGATCTGGTTCACAAATGGCCCTTTGGCCACGCAATCCTGGGTCCACTGGAGCGGACCATGACGCATCGACTCCTGTGCTTCTCCTGTGTGGACCCACGGATTCGATGCGTGTGCCACGAAAAAAATAAGAGGAGCTCGAGAGGAGTGAGACCTGAGAAAGGGGAGTTTCATGACTGAACTACCCTACCGTGGATGGATGGATGGATGGATGGATGGATGGATGGATGGATGGATGG